AGGTGTTTCAAGTTTTCTATGTTTACTACTAAACAAGATATTCTGAACTAAAATTGTGACACAGTACGCACGGTATCTCACTTAATGAGGAGGAAGCGAAATTTATTCAGTCAAAACAATTTATTGAATAAATTTATAGACAAGTTGGCTTACTAGTTACAAGCATATAAGAAAGTCGAAACTTTGTGCTTATAGTTTAGCAATCTATTACGGGAAACCTTGTACCGAGAAAAGAAGAAACTGTAAGAAAGGAACCGGTAAGAAACTGCAAGGGCTGCTTTTGCACCCTGTTTAATTTCGTACTGAAAAATAAAAAATGACTTCATTGGACCAAAATGTCACTTTCCACCAAAACAATAAAAAATATCCTATAACAGACAAAAAAAAGCATAATAATTCATTCGTCAATCGACTCATTAAAAGCTTATTATAGTTACCGTGGTAGTTATCTTGGACAGTAGTCACACTTCCCGTGGATGCAAAATTAAACTTATGTTAAAAAAACTATTTAATTATAATTGCAAAATGTCAACTTGACAATATATATGGAAATAATTATAAAACACGATTGATATTATTGTAAAACTTTTAAGATATATATTTTGGTACTATAGTTCTTAAAACTATGTAAAATTGGCTATATTAGAGGAAAAAGAAACATTTATCGAGGTACAATCATATTATAAAATTATATTATTAAATAATATAAATGTGAAAGTTTGTGAGGATGGATGTTGGTTACTCTCATGTAAAAACTACTGAACGGATTTTGATGAAATTTGGAATACGAATAATCTTTTACCCGTGGGAAGCGCCATCATACGCTGGTAACATATGTTATATTTACTATAGTGACGCAACGGAGTCGCAAGAACAAAGAACGCAAGAAATTTTAGATGTCCAACAAAATACGAGCAAAAGATTGCTTAATGATTTATAAATAATTGATAAATTCACGCCACTTTTAAAAAAATATTATTTTCTTGATACTGGCGTGAATTTTTCAATTTAATTAATAATAATCATAAATAGGATTGGTACGTAAGTGTGAAATGAATAGAAGTGTAATAGGTAATAGTTTAGCCATGCCCCTAACAATGAAAATTATATTATATATTTAATAAGTAGTAGTATTGTAGCAGTTTCACGAAATACTAACTTTTATTTAATATGACTTCAATGTCGATACAAATATCGATATCTTGGGTCACGCCCTATGACAATCCGCCATCGAAGAATTTGCATTTGAAGTTTAGGCATATACGCTTTTTTCGTAGGTATGGCCGGTCCTCTTCTTTTATGTCTATGGTTCACTAGTGAGCGCGTTAAGAATTTGTATGGAGATTTGTACTTCTTGGTAGTTACCGCTAGGGGCGCTGTACCCGATTCCATACTTAAATCTTAACGCGCTCACAATTATCAGTGAACGTAAACGTAAACATTTACGTTTGACTTAACGTGTAAAACTTACACTTACCACTCTGTATAGGCTTCTAAACACGTGTGCAAAATTTTATAGAAGCATGTGTACCTATTTGTATGTCTGTATGTTTGTCCACGGATATTTCGCAAACTAGACGTCGGATGGCAATGATTATTATTTTATTTGATTGCTCAATTTTCAACTTCGGGTACACTACAAGTGTCATCATAATCGGTTCAGAAGTTTTGGAAATATTATCTATTAAAATTTTAGCTATTTATAAAATAAGTAAAAAATTATTCGTTTTATAAAGGAGTTAAAATTGATGACGTTCTTTTTATCCAACCGTTTTTTTTACCTGAGTATGTATGTCATTAATCGACATAAAAAAAATCTCAATTTGACCTGTACGCTTATAATTATAACCGACCTTAAAATAAATAGGTAATCAATTTGACCTCATATACCTATGATGGATGACTCATATATGTTAGTTTAAGTGGGCTTCTAAACAGGTGTGCTATATTTTGTAGATGTATACATAAGTCTCTATATGTTTAAAAAATATCTATTTTTAACTTGGGAAAAACATAAGAGAAAACTTACTAAAGTATAAGTACGAAGTATTACCAGAACATTTGGTTAGGTAAGGTTAGAACTGCGACCCCAATAGAAACGAATTGCTTCAAGAATAGTGGTTAGTTGGAATTGCTACCATCACAGAAAATGTTTATCCGGTAAATATAAGTATGTTTAAATACAGACGTAGATGTTCATTTATTTATTACAATTTAAAAGTAAGTAACATGGATCGGTGATTATTATTAAATAAAGGAAGAAATGAAAAACAATTTTAAAAAATTAAACCGACTTCTAAAATCGTAATAAAGAGAATAGACTGAAAAGAGAGAAATAATAACATATCGTTGCGCTTCGCGATCTTCTTAAATTTCTAACCTATCACTTGACCTACAAGACAGCAAAATCGTGTATATCTTGTATAATTGCATTAGTATTAAGAAATTTAAAAAAACTTTTGCGTGCACTCCAAATTACTTAGCTCTCACATTCGTCGAACGAATACGAAGTACCTACTTCGTATATTTTTAAAATACATATTATTTCGTAAAAATTTAAAACAAAAGACATCTACTTTTGTTTACAAATCTTACTTTTATTTAATATTATTATTGTGAAAAATCTAAAGTTTCTATAGGGCATCGGCGTCGTTAAGACCTATAGTAATAAAAGAGATTACTTTGTTTTTGTACATTTTGTAACACAGATCTTTCAATTTATTTATTGGAACTAGTGGGAAGAATGATCTATTATTATTATAACTTCTATTTTATAGTAAGGTTATATATATTTCATTTTATAAATTAGGCAGTATTATAACAAAAAATATACGAAATACAAGGCATTCGTTCGACGATTGTGAGAGCGAAGTACTTTGGACAGCATGCAAAAATTTTGGGGGAATTTCCGAGTAATTAGTGTGACTCAAAATTATTGAGTTTTAGTTTATTATGTTGTTCGTCAATCAGTTCAATAAAACGTCATATTTTTATTTAAGTTACGATAATCAAACCTTAGCATTTATCACTTATTTTTCAAAAGTAGTAATGATGATTACGATCAGAAAATGTGTTTTGATTACTTTAACCACACAGATTTTTTATAGATTTTAAAGTTGAAATAGTATACAGATTTTAGCAGTTTCTACTACAGATAATAGATCCAAGGCATCTAGCAGCACTGGTTACGGGTACACACCCGTTAGCTTCCTGTGTTATATCATACAGACCATTAACACCCAGTCGCGAATAAGCATTTTGTTATCAGTCCAGGGGAGCGATTCTGTAAAAATTTCGAACCCGAATTCGAATTCACTCATGTTCCGAATTCACGTCATTTAGTGTAGAAATTCTATTGATTCCATTTTTTTTATAAAAATACAAAACAAGATTGATAGAATAAAACGAGTCTCAAATATTCTATTTCTATGTTATTTCGAAACTCACTTCACATATGCCACGAAACGTTATTACCAATTTAAGGTTGAATTCGGACACATGAGTAAATACGAATTCGGGTCTGGGTTTTTACAGAAGGGCTGTATCTGAATCGATTACATTTCGTAACAAATTCTTGAGTTTTATGTAAAATCATCTACTACGACATTTTTTTTTTGTTTGACTTCTAATCCTACCAATAAATTTCGGTATTCCCGATGAATTGACAGTTAATGTGCTGACTGACTTTTGTTTAGTTATATTGTAAATCGATGCGTTCAGCTACTCTGCTGATCGAAAGTTAGCCTGTTAATTGAATGGCGTCAATCAATTAAAGGGCTAGCAGCCTAATTGGTTAGCTGATTTTTCACTTGGATGCGACAGATACACCAACAGGTTTTTTGAGGTCTGTGCCAGATATTTACAAGAAAAATATCATGTATGGTAAGAGAATAGAATAGGATAGATTTACTAATGTAAGTTATTATATAATAGTTTGATAATAGGTTATACTTTCAGTATTAATATAATCAAATAATATTGACACATATTTAAGCCTAGATATTACAGTTATGTTATCAACCAAAATATTTTAGGGGCTTCACCAAGATAAATACCTACCTATTCTTCATGAAAAAATGTTTAAATCCACTTTGTCCCTGGCACTTTGAGATTGAGTGGATTTTTTAAGCATTTTTCAATAAGAATATTTTTCAGCATAACATTGTAAATGCAAAATTGAGCAAATGTAATAATAAGTACCTATTTTCAAGATTCACTTACTATCAAGATAGATTATAGTTTATGTGTTGATCATGAATATTTAAACTTATATATCCTAAATATTCCGTAGATTAAACCTTCGATCAACATATATTGTTTATCAAAGATTTAAATAGATCTATTTTTATTTCTTTTTTGTTTAATCCGAAAGTGTTTCGGTTTTCTTTTTTAGAACATAAGCTACATACTAGGAAAGATGCAGCAGCGAAAATTACACAACTGTCCATTTCAAATACTCATGTATTTATGATGATATCTCGGCGTGTCTTTCAAGGCTCGTCTTTGGGATTTCAGTTAAACTACTGAAGCTGCCTCGCGAATCGCACTTCGAATCAAAGCAAGCTCATGCACCCTGTAGGTATAAGAATATTGATGTAACAGTTTGGCATAACGATATTTATTTTCTTATCATCGAATACTTACGATATATGTATCTACCAATGTTATAAAATCAATACAAACAGTAAGTTCTATGTGTATTATGTATATAACCTGTTCGATATTGAATAATTATTCGCTGAAGTATTGTGTTAACACTCGTACAGTGTCACAGTTTTAGTTTAGCTTGTCTAGAAGTATACATAGAAGTCTCTAGATACGACATGACAAACTTTGGAGATAAGTTTAGCTATTAAAAAAAAAATCGTGTTCATTCGATAAAACGCTTAGTGAATATTGAGTGCGTTCATTGCAGTCTAAAAAGACATCTCTAATGTCAAAGTCAAATAGTTTCAAATCTTACTGTGTCGGTTATTTTTGTTTTCATGAAAACTTGGAAAATGGAAGATTTCGATGTATTTACTAATGAAATCAATTATACAAAGCAATTTTGCTTGAATATTTTAAATAAATATGTAAATGACGCGCCTTTGACTCCCAACGCTCCAAATTATCAGTGTATGTTCAATTTATTACTTGATAATGATACAAGTTTAAGAATGGGACAATGGTTATTTGAACTTAAAGTGTAAATTTCAATACAAATACTTTTAGGTGGTAGAAAATTACTTGCTGACGAGTGTTTGTCTGCTAGTAAAGAAGAAGAATGTGCCTTTCACATGAGTGAAGCTATATCAGCTTCACTGAGAACTATGGCTGTGTACAGAGATGAGCAAATAAAATCGGCTAGTAAGTGGTTTTACTAACAAATCTCATAAAGTTAATCCATTTGCGTATACATAATTATAAAACAAAAATGTCTGTTTACACGTGGACTGCAAATAATAGTATTATATCTCTTTTATTTGTGTAGGTAATAAACTTCAAAAAATTACGAGTTTCATAAAACCAATACAAGATGTTATTGACGCAAATCCACTGTAAGTCAAACTTTAGTTAATGTAGCTCAGTTTTCAAAACCAAACCATACCTAGTCAATTAACTAACAAACCTACTTATAACATGCATGTTAAGATAATGTATTTAAATCTTGCTTTACATCACTCAATATTGTTACGATTCCTTAAGAATAGTCATTTTTTTTCGATAACTTTTGTTTCTATTATAAGAAAAATGAATGAGAGAAGGAGGATGCCTAACTTCTTCAAGTCAATGATTTCACAAATCTCATCAAATGTTAATTATAATTTGTATACTAATGATCACTCATAACGATTTCAGCTCCAAAGACGAACAGAAACTGTATGACTTATTTTCGGAAAATGTACCTGACATCGACATAGCATTCTCTCGCATGGACATTGTTGAAGATGTACCATTCCATAAGAGGTATTTGAGATTTGGCCCAGATAACAATGTTGAAAACTTTCAGAAAATATTGAAAGAACTACCAAAAGGTTTCCATACTTTTTTTTAAACATATTTATTTACTTAGTTTTACTTAACAAGCAACAATCAAAGGAACATTACAGTAAACTGTGATCCAGACAATGACTAGTATAACAAAACAAAGGCTCACTTAATTTATTACGCACAACAAACAATACACTCACTTAAAGATGCAAATCCTTATTATTACTTTGCTAGTCAATGTTACATTTTTATAATAATTAAAAAGACAAATAATATTTTTTTCCAGAATGGTCTATCATACAGTTGACAGCACCATATAATCCAAATGAGAATTTAAAACCACAGATTGAATACAAAATTGAAATAAACTCATTGTATTTGACAATGTACTCTAATGAATATTTAGATAAAACTGAATTTGGACCAATGACAATCAACATTCCTGCTAATGTTACCAAAGGTTTGTTAATTTAAATTAAAAAATACTACCATCCTAATGAATATTGTCTGAAAGGGATCTGGTTGGTGGTAGTTTAAATGTCAAAGTCTGAGGAAAAATATCTCTTACTACACCACCTCCAGTACACCACCTCCAGTACCAACACATACAGATATTTGGTATCCAATAATAATAATGTACAAATGCTTTGAGGCTTTTGTCAAAAATCAGGCCACAAAGCGATACTTATGTATAACCCTACCTTGCTGATTAGGGGCATAATGGGACACCAAGAAATAATTTAAGAAATTTCTGTCCACAGGTCTCTATGTAATAAAATTTGTGATAATAATGATTCTAAGTATTTTTCCTCGGTGCTTGTAAACTCCATAGACTCCAATGCAATATAGTTTTTTAATGTCAAAATTTTCTGATTTATAACATTGTGTTTTCTCATGATAACACGAAACTTTTTTTGATTATTGTTTAGCATTTAGACTAGGTTAAAACACTTTGATAAACACAGCAAAGAACAACCATCAAATGTGCCCATAATTTTAAACCAACTCTCAGCTATGTTTTAAGATATTACAGTTAGCTGTATTTATTCTCCTTTATTGTAAATTACTTTAATCTATTATTACAGATGGAGAAAAGCCACTATTTACTGAACTATTTTCTTTATTAGAAGATAATTATAAAACTATTGACAATGCACAATTTTTAAATAATAAAAGATTGGTCCAAAACTATTGGAGTAGAAGGGAAGACATTGATTTAAGAATGAAGGTAAATAATATTTAAGGCAATCAATTTTGTAGTTGTGATTCTATATTACGCTAATTTAAATAAGAAGAACTCATCTTTACTTATTTTAAACGAACCCTCCGTTATGTTTATCTGTTTGTTTGAACTTATTAAGCTAAAAAAGTATGAAATGGAACATCCAAGTAGACTATAATCACCAGAGAAAGGTTTTGGTGTATGATTTGGTAACATATTATCTAAATTGACTAAGATATATATATATATATATATAACCACAGTGTCTATTTATTCGTCTTACTAATGGGCGTTAGTTTGATATTATATCAGATAAAGTCAAATCAACTAAATATAAAAAATTACAACACTTGTCATAAATCTTTTATGTACACATACACTGCGCGCAGATCTCGTATTAAGCTTTGATTATAAAAATTGAAAAAAACAAAGGCCTTTTTCTTTGTGGGCCCAACCAAGAAATGAACCCGGGATCTCCGACATGGCGAAACCAATGTGCGAACCACTCGGAAAACGATAAATATCTGGATGTTGTATGAACATTCATCACTAAGCACACTTCAAAAGTGCTATTATAATAATTATGGTTCAAATTTAATTAGTCATTAAAAAAGTACAAAATATTTGAAAAATACCTTCAATGATATGAAATTGATTGTTTTCAGAGTGTTATTCACGTCATGGACAAGGATTGGTTAGGTGGTTTTGGCAGTTTACTAACGGGAAAACTTGTTGATTCAAGTTTGAGTGACAATGTTATGAAATTAGTTGACGTCGCCATATCTGACTGGGGGTAAGTTTGTGTATGTAATCCATACTTATATTATAACTGCGAAAGAAACTTCGTCTGTGTATGTGTGTCTATTGCGTTTTCATCTCAAAATTTTTGTGAAATATGTGTATTCCATGCGGACGAAGCCAGGGGATGAAAACTAGTAATCAATTAATAATAAATTTTTATGATTAATTTTTAACTAAAATAAAAATATCATTGCAGCGAAGTCTAAAAGTATACAGTTTTGGCGAGCATGTTCTTATTTTTGTAGAGCTTTGATTGTTCAATTGAAGTAACGATGTTGGAAAAAAATTTAAATAAAATATCTCTAATTAAAAATTTATAGTTGATTTAAATAATTTCAGTTGCCATGCATTAATTTATCTTATAATGCCAAAATAAAAACTTATCTGAGTAAATTATTAAAATTTCAGGTTTATTAAAATAAATAAAAAACAAAAAGTTCTCTTATACAATCTAATAGGAAGTTGTGCCACAATGATGTCACGTCAAATAAAATCGTGCATTAGAAAGATTTTAACTGAACACGGCGACCCTGAAGAGATTAGACAGGTGTTAGATACATCAGACTGTGAGACGTGCACAAGAGAGTTTAGATTCCTAAACGAATTGTGTATAAAGTGTCTGTCGAAGTGCTTTGAAGCGATCCACCATTTTACACTAGTAGATGGTATAAAGGCTTTTTCGAAGGTGGCAACACAAATTAAGGAAGATGACGAATGGGCTTGCTTGAAGAAAGCTAAAAGACATCCCGTCATATTGTTAGTGGATGAAGTAAGTTGGGATTAATAGTTCTTCTGTGTTAAGCTAATTTTTTTAATTTGATTTAGGGGTTGGATTACATCTAAAAGCACGGTATCGAACCTTTCCGTCACCCCATCCTTTTCTGTCGCTCCGAAACCAACATATGCTAATGAGAGAACGATAGTGGATATTTTCATATCAGCAGCGAAGTCCTCTACTCGATATTCAATACGCTGTCTTTCTCGCTCTAGCAAATGACGGTTCTAGCGCGACGAAAAATGTTAAGATAGTGGAAAAGGGCGATGCCGTGTTGCAAGATGTAATCCAATTCTTGTCTTACAATTTTATTATAAATGTTTTTTTTTTTTTATTAAAGGCTTTAGACACGTTTCCTTGGGAAACTTTGCCAATAATAAACCAGCATCCAGTGTCACGTATGGAGAATATCCATTTCTTGTATTACTTGTACAAGATCCACGAGAGTCGCATCACAGACGGTTACTTCAACGCGCGCGCTGACGTCGGCAGATACGTTATTAACCCAGGTCTGTTCTGTTTATTTATTTACATAAATACTTGTCAGCTTACAGATTAAAATCTAAGATGCCCAATAACTTGAAATTATACAGGGTTATGGGTAATTAGCCCGGATCCTTTTAAGGGGTCGTAAAGGAGATAATTTACAGTTATTTTCACCTCACATTATGTATCCGAAAGTGAGCCATTTTTGTTATAAAATATATTTTTTTTTGTTAAAAAAGAAAAAAAAAATATGTTCAGAATTTAAATTTATTACAGTTATGGAGAGATAACATTCTAGTTCGTGATAAGTAATAATAAAACCGAAATAATCTTGACCCAAACAGAAATCACAGAGTTTTAAATAAAATAAAAAGTTTTTTGTTGTAAATTGGCAAACAATTTAAAAAAAGCATTAAAAAATAACTTGCGGATATACAGTGTGGGGTGGAAATAATTATAAATGACCTCCCCTACGCCCCTTAAAAGGATCCGGTCTAATTACCCATGACCCTGTATAAGAAACAGAAAATTATGACATTCATTTATTCACTAAATATGAATAAAAAATCTTTTACTAAACACAGGGTGAGTCAGGTAATATTGTGTCCTATCCTATCCCATCATCATTCTGTTAATATTCCACTGCTGGAGCACATGCTTCCTTTGATTAAGGGGACCATAATCCACCACGTAGAATCAAATAGAGTGAAACATAACAAGGGCTTGAAAATCGGCGCATTTTTCAGCTTCAGTATGTACAATAGGGACGATGACTAATTTTTGTTTGTTTGTCCGTCAGGTAGAGTGTTAAAAAATATTGAACACGTATTTTTTTATTTTTTTCGTAATCCTAAAGTTATGGCGTTACATGGAGTTGAAATTTCGCATGACGTCACGTTAGGGTACGTTTTCTACTCAACTGTGACGTAGCCCCCACTCCTCAACTTTAATGCCTGTTATCTAAGCTTTTTCTTATTAAATTGAAGTAAAAAAAAATACGTATCTAATATTTTTCTATTATCTGACTGACGGACTAAATAGAATTGCATTTTTTTACCCAGTCATCATCCCTATTTTTCGAATAAAAATTCAGTGATATTTTTAACATATTTAACGGCGACATTGTGTCTGTTGATCACTGGGGACACGCAAACAGTTGATGAGTGAGTTCATTAATTCAATTGCGACATTGTTTTTGATTTGATTCATTATGGTTTGTTCTAAACGTATTTCCATTATAACGGAAGGTCTGTAAGGCTGAAATCATTCAAAACTCCAGAATTGCAAATTCCATCTCAAGCCCTAATCATAACCCACCCCGCGGGCTCAGTGTGGATTAGTGGGCGTTAACGATTGCAGATGGAGTCGAGTTGAGGTAGTCACCTACCCTATGACCGTACTACAAATTGAAATATATTGAATATACTTACATTTATTAACAGAATACCTGCCTTTTACTTGTATCTATTATTACAAAATTAAATTATAATTGCTAGTCACTTGCCTACAACTATGTGATCTTTTCGACAAGCGTGTTCTTATTTTTGTAGAGCTTTGATCGTTCAATTGAATAATGATATTGGAAAAAATATCAAATAAAATATAGTTTATTCAAATAATTAGAGTTGTCATGCATTCACAATATTGGTCCGATTACAAAACGAAGTTGTATATACGTCGCAGTCAAGTGGTATAATCAGCCAACCCATTGGGCGACTAGCCCTTTAATTGAATGGCGCCATTCAATTTCATTGAAGGGCTAGCCGCCTATTTGGTCAGCTGATTATAACGGTTCCCCTCGGCCGTCGACAGAGAGGAACCTGGAGCGCATGGAGAAGCGCATGAGCTCGTTCGTGCGCTACTGGTGCGGCGCGTGGCGCGGGCACGTGGCCGAAGCGCCCGCGCCCGACTGCTTCCTCGGGTACCTCACGCACGCGGACATCTTCCTGTGAGTAGTACTACTAACCGCCTACTTGATGTAGCGAACGGTGGGAACTAGGTAACAGTTGATATAAGTTAGTTACACCTTTTATAACTCGAGAACGACTGAATCGTCTTTTATGAAATATCACATATATAATAGGTAATAAAATATTATATTATATGAACGAAAATAATAATTTTAAAAGGCTCGGAAATTTTTTGGTCATAGTGATTTATCATAATAAAACGCAACTGATGGCTCACGTAATGTTGAATATGTCTATGGTTTGTTTAACTTGTCGCTGAATCCTAAATTTGCTCATTTGTTGACTGTTGAACGGAACCAATTTTTACATTCAAATTTTTTGGGCGTAACAAAATGCACCGGTTCCTCTGGTACACATATAAAAGAAAGTTACACCATTGATAACTCGAGAATTTTTACAATTTTAAAATTTTTTGATTTGTCTTCACCGGGAAACGGATAATAATTGTTAAAATATGATATTTTATCAATATGAATAGTGATTATAGCGATGCATACCTATAGTTTGATTATAATAAAACGCAACTCTGACAGCTGTCGTTCATCCTTAATTTCTTATAACAAAACGCATCTAAGAGTTCACGTAAATTGTCAATTGTTTGTTTTAAATTATCACTAAGTTGACCGGTAATGTTAATTATAATGAAAAATTCGTTGACTTTTAGATGGAATAAAGTTCTCCGGGTTCACTAGTTACTCGCAAAATAGAATAGTATGTAAAAATATGTCGATTTAATCAAAATGAAATGTCAAAAAAACAATTATGTATTATATTTCACAATTATGTATTGATGTAAAATATGTCGCAAGAAATGTAAAAAATCAAAAACACATATTGGATTGGAAAATTTTGAATAAGGTCGATGACCTCACAGAGAGAAGAAAGCAAAATTCTCCTTGAACATGCTACATTATTTTTTATATTAGACAAGTAGTTCTAGAGATTAGTCTGTCTAAGGCTAGTGGTTCATAGTTATGATGGACAGGTGTCATGTTAATTCAAACGAATTAAAGTATCATAGGCCCTCAGGTGTCATGTTAATTCAAACGAATTAAAGTATCATAGGCCCTCAGGTGTCATGTTAATTCAAACGAATTAAAGTATCATAGGCCCTCAGGTGTCATGTTAATTCAAACGAATTAAAGTATCATAGGCCCTCAGGTGTCATGTTAATTCATACGAATTAAAGTATCATAGGCCCTCAGGTGTCATGTTAATTCAAACGAATTAAAGTATCATAGGCCCTCAGGTGTCATGTTAATTCAAACGAATTAAAGTATCATAGGCCCCTCAGGTGTCATGTTAATTCAAACGAATTAAAGTATCATAGGCCCTCAGGTGTCATGTTAATTCAAACGAATTAAAGTATCATAGGCCCTCAGGTGTCATGTTAATTCATACGAATTAAAGTATCATAGGCCCTCAGGTGTCATGTTAATTCAAACGAATTAAAGTATCATAGGCCCTCAGGTGTCATGTTAATTCAAACGAATTAAAAGTATCATAGGCCCTCAGGTGTCATGTTAATTCAAACGAATTAAAGTATCATAGGCCCTCAGGTGTCATGTTAATGCAAACGAATTAAAGTATTATAGCCCCTCAGGTGTCATGTTAATTCATACGAATTAAAGTATCATAGGCCCTCAGGTGTCATGTTAATTCAAACGAATTAAAGTATCATAGGCCCCTCAGGTGTCATGTTAATTCAAACGAATTAAAGTATCATAGGCCCTCAGGTGTCATGTTAATTCAAACGAATTAAAGTATCATAGGCCCTCAGGTGTCATGTTAATTCAAAACGAATTAAAGTATCATAGGCCCTTAGGTGTCATGTTAATTCAAACGAATTAAAGTATCATAGGCCCTCAGGTGTCATGTTAATTCAAACGAATTAAAGTATCATAGGCCCTCAGGTGTCATGTTAATTCAAACGAATTAAAGTATCATAGGCCCTCAGGTGTCATGTTAATTCAAACGAATTAAAGTATCATAGGCCCTCAGGTGTCCATGTTAATTCAAACGAATTAAAGTATCATAGGCCCTCAGGTGTCACGTTAATTCAAACGAATTAAAGTATCATAGGCCCTCAGGTGTCATGTTAATTCAAACGAATTAAAGTATCATAGGCCCTCAGGTGTCATGTTAATTCAAACGAATTAAAGTATCATAGGCCCTCAGGTGTCATGTTAATTCAAACGAATTAAAGTATCATAGGCCCTCCGGTGTCATGTTAATTCAAACGAATTAAAGTATCATAGGCCCTCAGGTGTCATGTTAATTCATACGAATTAAAGTATCATAGGCCCTCAGGTGTCATGGTAATTCAAACGAATTAAAGTATCATAGGCCCTCAGGTGTCATGTTAATTCAAACGAATTTAAGTATCATAGGCCCTCAGGTGTCATGTTAATTCAAACGAATTAAAGTATCATAGGCCCTCAGGTGTCATGTTAATTCAAACGAATTAAAGTATCATAGGCCCTCAGGTGTCATGTTAATTCATACGAATTAAAGTATCATAGGCCCTCAGGTGTCATGTTTAATTCAAACGAATTAAAGTATCATAGGCCCTCAGGTGTCATGTTAATTCAAACGAATTAAAGTATCATAGGCCCTCAGGTGTCATGTTAATTCAAACGAATTAAAGTATCATAGGCCCTCAGGTGTCATGTTAATTCAAACGAATTAAAGTATCATAGGCCCTCAGGTGTCATGTTAATTCAAACGAATTAAAGTATCATAGGCCCTCAGGTGTCATGTTAATTCATACGAATTAAAGTATCATAGGCCCTCAGGTGTCATGTTAATTCAAACGAATTAAAGTATCATAGGCCCTCAGGTGTCATGTTAATTCAAACGAATTAAAGTATCATAGGCCCTCAGGTGTCATGTTAATTCAAACGAATTAAAGTATCATAGGCCCTCAGGTGTCATGTTAATTCATACGAATTAAAGTATCATAGGCCCTCAGGTGTCATGTTAATTCAAACGAATTAAAGTATCATAGGCCCTCAGGTGTCATGTTAATTCAAACGAATTAAAGTATCATAGGCCCTCAGGTGTCATGTTAATTCAAACGAATTAAAGTATCATAGGCCCTTAGGTGTCATGTTAATTCAAACGAATTAAAGAATCATAGGCCCTCAGGTGTCATGTTAATTCAAACGAATTAAAGTATCATAGGCCCTCAGGTGTCATGTTAATTCAAACGAATTAAAGTATCATAGGCCCTCAGGTGTCATGTTAATTCAAACGAATTAAAGTATCATAGGCCCTCAGGTGTCATGTTAATTCAAACGAATTAAAGTATCATAGGCCCTCAGGTGTCATGTTAATTCAAACGAATTAAAGTATCATAGGCCCTCAGGTGTCATGTTAATTCAAACGAATTAAAGTATCATAGGCCCTCAGGTGTCATGTTAATTCAAACGAATTAAAGTATCATAGGCCCTCAGGTGTCATGTTAATTCAAACGAATTAAAGTATCATAGGCCCTCAGGTGTCATGTTAATTCAAAACGAATTAAAGTATCATAGGCCCTCAGGTGTCATGTTAATTCAAACGAATTAAAGTATCATAGGCCCTCAGGTGTCATGTTAATTCATACGAATTAAAGTATCATAGGCCCTCAGGTGTCATGTTAATTCAAACGAATTAAAGTATCATAGCCCATCAGGTGTCATGTTAATTCAAACGAATTAAAGTATCATAGGCCCTCAGGTGTCATGTTAATTCAAACGAATTAAAGTATCATAGGCCCTCAGGTGTCATGTTAATTCAAACGAATTAAAGTATCATAGGCCCTCAGGTGTCATGTTAATTCAAACGAATTAAAGTATCATAGGCCCTCAGGTGTCATGTTAATTCAAACGAATTAAAGTATCATAGGCCCTCAGGTGTCATGTTAATTCAAACGAATTAAAGTATCATAGGCCCTCAGGTGTCATGTTAATTCAAACGAATTAAAGTATCATAGGCCCTCTGGTGTCATGTTAATTCATACGAATTAAAGTATCATAGGCCCTCAGGTGTCATGTTAATTCAAACGAATTAAAGTATCATAGGCCCTCAGGTGTCATGTTAATTCATACGAATTAAAGTATCATAGGCCCTCAGGTGTCATGTTAATTCAAACGAATTAAAGTATCATAGGCCCTCAGGTGTCATGTTAATTCAAACGAATTAAAGTATCATAGGCCCCTCAGGTGTCATGTTAATTCAAACGAATTAAAGTATCATAGGCCCTCAGGTGTCATGTTAATTCAAACGAATTAAAGTATCATAGGCCCTCAGGTGTCATGTTAATTCAAACGAATTAAAGTATCATAGGCCCTCAGGTGTCATGTTAATTCAAACGAATTAAAGTATCATAGGCCCTCAGGTGTCATGTTAATTCAAACGAATTAAAGTATCATAGGCCCTCAGGTGTCATGTTAATTCAAACGAATTAAAGTATCATAGGCCCTCAGGTGTCATGTTAATTCAAACGAATTAAAGTATCATAGGCCCTCAGGTGTCATGTTAATTCAAACGAATTAAAGTATCATAGGCCCTCAGGTGTCATGTTAATTCAAACGAATTAAAGTATCATAGGCCCTCAGGTGTCATGTTAATTCAAACGAATTAAAGTATCATAGGCCCTCAGGTGTCATGTTAATTCAAACGAATTAAAGTATCATAGGCCCTCAGGTGTCATGTTAATTCAAACGAATTAAAGTATCATAGGCCCTCAGGTGTCATGTTAATTCAAACGAATTAAAGTATCATAGGCCCTCAGGTGTCATGTTAATTCAAACGAATTAAAGTATCATAGGCCCTCAGGTGTCATGTTAATTCAAACGAATTAAAGTATCATAGGCCCTCAGGTGTCATGTTAATTCATCACGAATTAAAGTATCATAGGCCCTCAAGTGTCATGTTAATTCAAACGAATTAAAGTATCATAGGCCCTCAGGTGTCATGTTAATTCAAACGAATTAAAGTATCATAGGCCCTCAGGTGTCATGTTAATTCAAACGAATTAAAGTAT